TGAACAGTAAGGACCAAAAAGGGAATTTTCTCGGTACAGGGACCAAAAGGGGGCTTTTTCCTATAGTAGAGGGACCAAAAAGGGTATTTAACCTTAAGAAAAAATATGATAGTTTTGAATATCCAAACTCACAAAAAATATATGAGTGTTCGTTTTTTAGGGCAACTTAATTTCTTTTTTTCTAAAAGAAAAACTTAATATTGGTTGTTTGTGGTTTTGTTTATGGATAGAGAGATTTGTAGGTGTGGATGGATGGTGCTGGATGATGACAAACCGACAAATATAGAGAGAGTTATGGATGAATCTATAGACAAGTTGTGAACAAATATATTTACAAACGATAAATTTGTTGATAGATGGATTTATGAACCGATGAATTTTAAATTAAAAATGACGGATAAATTTGTAGGCATGGATGGATAGTAGACGAACAAACTTTGAACAAACAGATTTATGAATTGATAGATACAGACATATTTAAGGACATATAGATTTATGAGTGGATATCTACAGACAGATTTTATGGGTAATTGTGAATGAGTGGATACATTTATGGGTGGTTGTGGACAAATTAACAGATAAATTTGAAGATGAATTTGCCAATGGACAATGGAATGAGTTTGTGGATAGATAGACAAATAGATTTGTGACCATAGATAGATGACAGTTGAATGATTATGAACAAACGAACAAACAAACGAGTGTTGAACGAATGGATTTATAGATGGATGAACGGGAAGATTTATGGACTAATAGATATGAATGAATTAGTGAAAAAAATTCATAGACATACAAATTTGGGATGATTGTGAATAAACAAACAAATTATTTTGTAAAAAAATTTATGAACAAACCATGTACACACAAATTTGTGAACAAATTTATTTATAAGCATAGAGGAAGGAGAGAATGTGCAAATAAAAATATCAATTTTATTATTTTTTTATTTAAAAATATTAATTTTATCAGTTTTTTTCTTCGGCACCTTCAGTGTTGAACTGATCAAGTGAGTACGGGAAGGTGGAGGCGGATTTTGTGTACTTGTTGAACAATGAGATCGAGAAGTTCAATTCGTTTTTCATGGACCAAGAAGAGGATTTCATCATCCGCAATAAGGTAAGTTCGCAATGTAGACCTGCATTTCTTTGTTTTTTTGAAATATATATATATATATA